GGGGGGGGGGGGGTGCCTGGCTGGGCCTGGGAAGATCCTCCAGTTGACACGCAACTGTCTGCCCACGCTGTCCCTTGCGGACCTGCAAGGTCTCCTGTCCCCCTTCCGCGGGCTGTGCCGAGGGAGTTCACTGGAGGTCAGCTGGCGGGAGCTGATTGCAGAGAAGGTCGCTGGTGGGCTGTGAAGGCTGGAGCCTGTTTACTCCTTTCCCCGAAATCTCTACATGGCCCCGGGCAAGCCACATCTGGCCCCGAGGCTCCGTGTCATCTGTAAAAGGGAACGTACACCACCTCGGCCTGCGGGGAGCCTTCAAGAGCTGGTGTGCAGCTGAGCAGGTGTGTCCCAGGTGCCAGGCACACGGCCAGTAATGCCGACGTTTTTGTCCTCTCTGTAAGAATCTATAGAAGCATAATTTGACCCTGAATCCTGGTCCATTACTTCCAGAGGGGCAGGTGCAGGCGGTACCCAGCATTCACAGATGACTCCTGCATGTGCGCTGAGTTTATGTGAACCGCGGTGACGTACCGCCTCTCACCCACCAGGACAGCTGTAATTCAAGAAACAAAACGTGTCAGGAGGCGGTGGAGAAATCTGAACCCTTGTGCACTGCTGGTGGGAAGGTGAAATGGTACAGCCGCTGTGGCCAATAGTCGGGAGGGTCATCAAAAAATTAAATGTGGAATCACCATATGCTCCAGCAATCCCCCTCCTGAGTGCATCCTCCAAAGAAATTAAAGCAAGAGACTCGAGACGTTTGCACGCTCGTGTTCACAGCAGTGATTCACAACAGCCAAAAGGTGGAGACCACCCAAGTCGCCATTGACAGATGATAAACTGTGTGGTCCATTCACACAAGGGAATATTATTCAGCCTTGAAAAGGAAGGAGATTCTGACACCTGCTACAACGGGGATGAACGTTGAGGGCATGATGCTCAGTGAGAGAAGCCAGACACAGGACAAATACTGTCTGATTCCACTCACGGGGGTCCCTGGGGGGTCAAATCCACAGAGACAGGAAGTAGATGGTGGGGGCTGGGGAAGGGGGTGGGGACAGAGCTTCAGTTTGGGAAGATGAGAAAGTTCTTGAGGTGATGGTAGGGTGGTTGCACAACGTGAATGTGCTTAATGCCACCAAGCTGTGCCCTTAAAAATGATTAAAATGGTGAACTTTACGTTATGTATATTTTACCACAATTAAGGAAAAAACCTTGCCTGTGTCCACTTGTTTGATGTGCAGGGTAGCTGGGAGGTCAGAACCGCTACCATTGAGCTTGTAAAGATGGGAGCTGAGGGATTTCCCTGGTGGTCCAGTGGTTGGGACTCCGCCTTCCAATGCAGGGGGTGCCGGTTTGATCCCTGGTCGGGGAGGTAAGATCCCACGTGCCTTGGGGCCAAAAAAACAAAACATAAAATAGAAGCAATATTGTAACAAATTCAATAAAGACTTTAAAAATTGTCCACGTCAAAAAACAAAAAAAACTTGGAAAATAAAAGCTGGGAGCTGAGGCACAGAGGCCAAGGCACCCAGCGCAGGTCATGCAAGTAGTGGGCCTTGGGGGAAGGTGAGGTGTAACAGCAGGACCCGAGATGGGGCGGCTTCAGGGGGTTCCCCCGTGAATCTGACGGGGGCCCAAGGCACCATTGGGTGCTTGCATACCTACCAGAACTAGCAGCCAGTAATGTTTGTCGACTGACTGACTGACTGCTGAGGGCCACATTAGGGTGAGGAGATATCCCCTCCCCAGGATGGGTCCATTTCTGGGGACTCATGCTGGCATAGGGACCTTACCCCAGGGTGGGGTGAGGCCCAGGTGGTCCCAGGTAGTCTTAACCTGGTACCTCACCCAGAACAGTGGTGGGGGTGGGGGCTCCCTGGTATGACCCTCCCTGTCCTGGGATGCCTGGCCAGGTGGCTGGATGAGGTAGCCTTGTTACCTGGAAGCCAGCCACCCAGCTCTCATTAGTCATCTCAAAATTCCATTCATGCTGCTGGCCGGTACTTGCATTTTTCTTCATCTAATGGAGTTTGTCCCCTGCGTCTCTAACACTGGCTCCAAATGGAGACGGTTTCTTGTGCGTGAAAAATATCAACTGAGTGTAGACGCATTCCTTAGAGCTGGAATGTTCCATGCGCAGTTGCTGCCCTGTGCCTTGTGGGGTCTGGGGAGAAGACTGGCTTTCTCCACTCCCCCACCTGGGATGGGAGAATTCCATGCAGGGTACTCCTGGGCCCTTATTTGACCGGTGGTTATTGAGCGCCTCCCACAGGCCAGGGCCACAAGAAGGTCTCCATGGCATTTGTCGTGGGGAGGCCCAGTTAAGGTAGGAAGAGGCTGGGGGATTGGTAGTCTGCGGGGAGCTAAGGAAGGTTCCAGGGCAGCGCAGAGTGATGTAACCACGCGTCCTTGTCTGAGCAGTTGCTCAAAGCAACAAGCAATTATAGAGTGCCTGCTGTGTGCAAGCACTGGAGACAGCAGTTAACGAGCCTGACCCGCCCCTGTCTCCCAGAGCTGGCCACTGAATAAAGCAAATAAAGGGACAGAAAGACGATGGCGTGTGATGGAGTTCATGTAGGCAGGGATGACAGGGGTGTTCTGCATCTTTCTGGGAGACAAGCTAGGAAAGTTTTTCCAGCAGGGGCATTTGGCACTGGGCCTTGAAGGGTGAAGAGGACTTCTCTGGCTCAAGTTGCTTGCCCACAGCTGGAGGGCAGGAGACCTTCCCCACAGGTCCCCATCAGACAGGTCTGCTTCGGTTTCCCTGGGGCGCCAACGATGGCAGGGCACGTGGACGGGTGGGTCTGGGTAGACGCTGCTCCCTGGAGGAGGGTGCAGCCGGGTGACAATGGACGCACACTGACCCCTTGTGGGCCTTAGTTTCCCTGACTGAGAATCGGGAACCGTTGCCGGGATGAGGGAGGGCTCCAGGGGTGAGTGTGGGCACCGGTCTTGATGCCAAATCCCTCCCTGCTGCTAACGTCGGCTTCCTCATCTGTAGAGTGGGCACACAGCCGGGAGGAGCAGTGGTTCGATTCCACACCCCACCCCAACCCCCGCCTGCTGTGGCCATCTGAGCCTCAATTTCCCGCCCTGCGTAGCGGGACCCACGCCTCCCTAGTGGGCTGCCTGGCACTGGGGGACCGGGACGGGGGAGGGCGGGCGCAGGTGGGCGGGCTCGGGCAGGCAGGGAGGTGCCGGCCCGGCGGGGGCAGGGAGGGAGCGGCGGGGGCGGCCGAGATCCCGCCT